TTGTACTTTTTGCGGCTTCTCTTTCCGCCTTCTTTCTGTTGTATTCCGTTAGTTCCGCCTTGTATTTATTCCAGATTTGCTTCCTTTGTTTAGCCCTGTTCCTTCTTCCAGCCTTCAATTTATTCTTCTTTAGTCTTGCTAGCCTTTGCTCATCATTTTCGTCACTGTCGCTTTTCTCATCTGGCGAGATGTTGCCTTCTAATTCGTTTGAAGATTTTATATCTGGTATCTGTGGTGGTTCCAGAGGTTGTTCTAACTGCTCCGCCATGTATACAGTGTACCTCTTCGAGCTCTTCTTGTACGGTATTTCATCCTTCGTTTGGTTGAGCTGTCGGTAGTTTCTGAGCTGGATTCGAGTTCTTTCCCCTCTTGATATGGTAGTTCTTCAATGTATTTGCTGGATTGAGCTTCTTCTGAGGTGAAAGAACCCGGCCAGTGTACCACACAGTCTTGTGGGGTCACGGTCATGATCATTCCTTCTTGTGCTCCCCCCAGGAGTATTTTTCTTGCTGAGTCCATCTTGTCTTGGGTAAAGTGTTGATAGATTGATGCCGTGTTGCGCAGTCCATATATCCCCGAGCTCTTCTTCAGGGTGTGTGGACGAAAACAACATGGTTTGTATTCCTTCACGATAGTTGTTGTCTTTGAGTCCGATCAGGTGTGGCTCCTTTTGTTTTGAAAATTGCATCCGAATTGGGGTTGTGCTCCATCTCTTTATCCGAGTTGGAGTCATGCTCCATCTTCTTGTCCGAGTCAGAATTGTGCTCCATCTTCTTGTTTGAGTCGGAATTGCGCTTCATCTCCTTGTCCGAGTCAGAGTCGTACTCCATCTCCTTCTCAGAATCAGTTTCGTATCCGCTTTCTTCTCCTTTCCGAGTTGGATTCAAAGTCGAAAGTTTCATCAATTTTTTCGACGAGTTCTTGCTCGACGGGATTGTTCTTGTCGTCGAATTCTTTTTCTTCTCGGAGATGGGTACGCGGCTTGCCATCGCCGCCTGCCTCGTAGATCCAGGATTCAAAGACAAAGGTTGTTCCCGCCGAATAAGTCATCTTGAGGTCGAGGTCCGCCAAGCTCTCGAGAAAAAATTCGTCGAAAGCCCCTACCTGGCGCGCCAGCTGTTGATGTTTTACCACCGATAGCTTTGTCACGGGGTACCCGGATGATTGTTCGAACTTCATGAATCGTGGAACTTCGGCGATTCGCGCAAAGACTCACGATTTATCTTCGGTTCGTGCCCTCAACTTGATCGAGTAATAACCTTACGTCCAGTTCGGTGTTAGCCTGTTTGCGTCGTATTGCTTTTAGTATTGGGTATGTTCAGTTATTTACAAGGGATATCCTCACCAGCCCTTTATAGTCCAGGTGCTGAGATGAGTTGTTTGTGTTCTACTCGGATACAAGGTCAGAGTCTTAAGCTATGCTTCGGGCGCCTTTCCTTATATAGTCCGAATTGGAGTTTTGGTTTTGCACGTTGCTTTGCTCCGTGTTCTTCTTGGCGATTGGGCTGTGGGCCTTGTTACCAAGGCTCACTTCCCTATAGTACGGTCTATGGAGGGCCCGTAGGGTTCCCCATCGATAACTTTAAAAAACAATTTTAGGCCTCTTGTTGAGAGTTTCAAGAGCTAAATTGATCTAAAGTTTAGTGGCTAAACTTTAAGGCCCTGTTTGGATGGATTGAAGCTAATTGTTGGCTATAGCTAAAATTGGCCAACTAAAATCAACCGGGGATGTCTGAATATCAGCTAAAATTAGCTCACTTAGATCAACTATAAGAGACTCTTTTATATCATTTTGTATTGATAGGAATAGAGATTTTGATAAAAAAAACTCCCAACAACTTCTTCATTCGCATCTCCAAATATTAACAAATTATATTCTGGATTTCTCGCTAACCGAAGATAGAGAGCGGAATTGACTTTCTAGAGTGCACACAAGATATTGAGAAATCCATAATAGATGATGGCAATATACTCGTCCGTTTAGATATTTTTCACACTCCAATAACTTTTTTATATCTTGTTTACACTCTAGAGTGCCAACTCCACTCTCTATTTTTAGCTAGCAAGGAATTTAGAATAAAGGATGGCAATATTAGAGAACTTAATAAAAGTTGTTGAAGGACATTTTTTTATCAAGATCTCTATTCCTACAAATAAGAAAGAATATAAATTTATTCTTGGAGTTGCTCTATGTAAATTAGTTTTAGCCGGTATTTATATTTTTAGCGGGCTAATTTTAGCTCCAGCTAACAATTGGCTTTAGCCCTTGTTTAGTTGCTCGATTTTGGACAACCAAAATCACTGTGCCAGCACTATAGCACATTGTAGCGTTTCGTTTGTATTTGTGAATTATTGTTCAATCGTTGACTAATTAGGCTCAAAACGTTCGTCTCGCAAAGTACGACCAAACTGTGCAATTAGTTTTTGATTTCGTCAATATTTAATACTCCATGCATGTACCGCAAGTTTGATGTGACGGAAAATCTTCTTTTTGTATAGTGCCAAAGCTTGGATTTTGGTGGGAACTAAACGCCCACTTAGCCCATCCAAGGCTTGTAACACAGATTTCGTGGGTCCTATTCCCTTTATTTTCCTCTGAGCGTCGTGGCCTCGTGGGTCAGGTACTACTGTTCTGGGCCAAACGCAACCAACCAAAACCACCCTGGCCTTTTCTGAAGAAACGTCCAAAGTTAGGCCCATTACGTGTGTACAAACAGTATAGCCGGGCCTCACACACGGTCACCTATTCGTTCGTCGCAGGAGCCGGCGGCACGGACCCGCCCCGGGCCCCGCGGAAGGTCTAGCTAGGCGTCTAGCCCCCCAACTCTGACAGCGCCGTGGCAACCGAAGAAATCCAGGTACTCGTATTGACCAAGCGTTCCAACTATCCAAGGGGAAGTGGGCAGACTGGACCATAACGAATGAACCCGCACGGCCACACACAGCCATGCCACCGTCGCGAGTCGCGACGCGCGGGCGGCCGCCGGCCCGCCGCTCTACCGCGACCACGCCCCTGACGCGGAACGCTCCCGCACCGCAGCCCGAGAGCAACCTGCAGGCTGCAGCCTGCGGCTCTGCCTGTAGACTGCAGTAGACTGATGATTAGAGCGCGTGCGCAGGAGTATAAAGCTGCCTCCGCTTCCCCCGGGGCCGCGGCCTCGGGCTGCCGCTGGTTCCTATCGCGTGGTGCCACCCGGGATTCCCTCGTGCTCCTTCTGTCCCCTTCCTCCGCTCTGAGGGGAGGACCCCGCAGATCCCATCGAAATTCACGGCCGACCGAAACCCAGGCCGGTCCCTCCCCGGCCCCCGGCGACGACCAATTCCTCCCTGGTATTGCATCTCTCTGTGTCTCTGCACCGTGTTGCTATCCATTTCCTTCTTTCAAGCAATCCTGCGCTTGCACGGCGGTCGGCGGCGTTCGAGGTCGGCGATTAGGCGACGCTAGGTTCCCGGGCGAGTTCGTGCCTCTAGGATTGCTAGTTGGTGGTTTCCTGGGTAGATTTCCCTGAGCTAACTAAGCAACCGTGATGAGGTGGTTAGGTGTATTGCCGTGAGTTGCTTGATCACTGTGAATCTAGTCTCGCGGGAGGTTCAGCTGCTTGTTGGCCATGGGTGGCCGCATCAGGGAATCACAGAGGCTGAATTTTCGCTTTTAGTTGTATGTAGAAATGGGAATTTTGTCTGGGAATCTTAAGCATCGAATCTTGGTATTCCTTCTAGGTGTACCATGGATATACTTCTCTTTGCAATTTATGCTTCCAGCTTCCTTGCAAGTTCTGAGCACGTGCATGTAGAACGGCCAAACATGGCAGGCACGGTTCTCCTGATATATCTGAATAAGGGAGTGTAATTATGTAATCATGAAGAAATATATAAAGTTTTATTTATGCAATGTGTTGATGGTACTTTGCAGAAGCAGATTAGCTTTCTGGTGCAGTTTTATGGTTCATTGATTGGTGGAGCCGTAGAGAACCACCAATTACTTTTGAATATAGCTAAATTGCATAAATGATTGACTTGGAGTCCAAACCACGTTAGTTCATCTAATTCCTTATTGGCCAGAAATGAGAATCTTTTATTTGTCATGTGCATGCTGGGACATACATGCTGCGAATACGACATAGACAGTTGCGTGGCATTTTCGGTATGTCTCGGCCTGAGTAGTAGGATTCGTTTGGATAATTGGATGCGCGGTGACTTCTTCTTCAATAATTGTTGTATCTGATGGAGTGTCGCGACCCATGCGGATGCCCTGAAGGCATCAATTGCCTTCAGAGCTGATAGTTTGGTTGCTGAGTGGTTGAGTTGCATAATCTGGATGGTTGTTTCTAGATGGTCTTCCTAATTGGAGCTGGCATTTAGTGAGCTGCAAGCTGTTGGACCTGTGGAATAATTGCTTTATTTGATGGTGTGTCTAAACTTGCACACATCTTGAGAGTTGAGATTTTATGGCAAAGTGGAAGTTTGTCGCTACTCACTAGATGCTCAGCCACACAGCCACGTGTTTGCGACTGTGCAGCCTCATGCAGAGTTACAGAGAAGATGAGATAACAGTTAATTCTGGGTGTGTGTTTCTGACTCTGTGTGTTTCCCACTGATATGCATGGCAGAAGGTGATGTCATGTCCCCTAATGGCAGATTATTGTTGTGCATGATTGTTAAGCTTCTGATGGAACTGAATCGAAGTGATCACGTTTCTTTCAAGCAGAGTATGCTAACTCTTGAATCTTAGATAGTATGCTTACATCTGATCAGTAATGTTGATTTTTCTTTTGCAGTTCTCGTTCCTCCTACCCTTCATGATGTTTGGATAATCTGTGGTGCTGGGTTTTTGCCCTGTTTTGAATTTTTAAGTTGAGCTAAGGATTCAGTATTAGTCTTGAAAGATGAATGGTTCAAGTGGTTCCCAAGGGCATCATGTCAGTGGAGAGAAGAAGCAAGTGCATCATTTTAGCCGACCCATTCTTAACAATGGACCAAAGCACCGTCCATTGACCCCCATGAGGCGATGCCGTGGTGTAGCATGTGTAGCAATTATACTGTCAACAGCATTCCTATTGATAGTTTACTTGGCTCCTATTACTTCCTTTGTTGTGCGGCTGTTCAGTGTGCATTACAGCCGAAAGGCGACTTCCTTTCTATTTGGAATGTGGTTATCTTTATGGCCATTCTTGTTTGAGAAGATAAACAAAACCAAGGTTGTCTTCTCTGGTGAAAATGTGCCTCCAAAAAGGCGTGTTTTGTTATTTGCTAACCACAGGACCGAGGTTGACTGGATGTACTTGTGGGATCTTGCACTGAGGAAAGGCCATTTAGGATATATCAAGTACATACTTAAGAGCAGCTTGATGAAGTTGCCTATTTTGAGCTGGGCATTTCACATTTTTGAGTTTATCCCGGTAGAACGGAAATGGGAGATTGATGAAGCAATTATCCAGAACAAACTATCAAAATTTAAGAACCCCAGAGATCCTATCTGGTTGGCGGTTTTTCCAGAAGGCACGGATTATACGTAAGGCATAATTATCTTTGAAATTCATTGTTTGTACATGCATGACTGAGTCTGTACTTAATCACATAAATTTAGTGTCTCAAATTTTCATAGTTAGTGATTACCGATCTAAACATTAAATGTGGTACTTTTTGAAATTAATCCTATGTATTACTTTAGAAATTGTTTGTCGCTCTATTCAATGTGCATGATTCTTCCTCTTTTCCTATTTCTGATTCTATCTTAGTGAGAAGAAATGCATTAAGAGTCAAGAGTATGCTTCAGAACATGGTTTGCCTAAGTTAGAACATGTCCTCCTTCCAAAGACAAAGGGGTTCATATGTTGTTTGCAAGAGCTGAGGAGTTCCTTAGATGAAGGTGAACACTCTTTCTCCCTACTCATTTCGTGCACACATGATACATTTGCCCATTTGCTGCCATGATGTTGTGTGGCACTATTGCTCAAGGATTTCTTCTTTTTGGCTTCTCAGCCGAATCTTTATGAACAAATAACTGTCAACCTACAACAGAAAATTCAACTCTTGGGTATTATAAGTTATATCCATTACATTAATTTTAATTGTGAAAAATATATATTAAATCTCTGTCAAACTGTTATTCTCTAGAGTATGTTATAAGCATTCTTAGAACCCATCAAGTTATCTGTGGAAAAATATTCACTCTATGTGAAAATTGTTATACTTTTTTCTTGAGTATGCCATAATCATTCTTAAAATCTATGAAATTTCTTAAAAAGTTCACATTCAGCAAATGCATGGGTTATCAATTCTTGCTTTTGAATGAAAAAATATTCTTCACTGTTTTAGGCATCTAATAATAATATTTTTGAGGGAATGTAATTATAATTTGAGTTAATGAAAAGGATCATATTTTGCTTTCAAAGGGAACTAAACGAGTTAGTACCGGTGTTGTACATGTGTACAGGCTCTGTGTCGTCCAATAGACCAGTACTTGCATTCCCAAAATGTCTCATCATTTGGTACTGATCAAAACAACTATATAGAGGAAACTAAGAGGATGGGACCACATATACTTGAAGTCCATGTGCCATGAAACATAACTGCAGCTGTACCTATTAAGATGTCAAGCCCCTAGCTACTTTGTACTTTTTGAGGCACCTCTTCTCTGTTTCTTATGTACTGTAATGTATTTTGGCTAAGGTTCAGTCTAGTATTTGACTCCTGAACCCCGACATTCCGTCCTTGCAGTTTATGATGTCACAATAGCATACAAGCATCGCCTGCCAGATTTTCTGGACAATGTGTATGGCGTTGATCCTTCTGAAGTCCACATCCACATCAGAACGGTTCAGCTCCATCACATCCCCACATCAGAAGACAAGATAACAGAATGGATGATCGAGAGGTTTAGGCAGAAGGACCAGCTCCTGTCAGATTTTTTTGTGAAGGGCCACTTTCCTGATGAAGGAACTGAAGGAGATCTATCGACGCCGAAGTGCCTGGCAAACTTTTTAACAGTAGTAGGCTTGACGGTCATCTGCTTGTACCTAACTCTCTTCTCATCTGTGTGGTCCAAGGTCTATGTTGTAGCAAGCTGCGCTTACCTCTCATTTGTTACCTATTACTCCATACTACCACCCCAACTGATAGGTTCACCGGAGGGTGATGTCAAGGCCAAAAAGGCTGTGTAGATGTTGATGTAACTTGCGATGGAAACTGTATATATCCGCAAAGGATGTTTACTGCTGGAATTCCTGGCTTGTGCCATTTAAGGTTCCCTTTCTGCAGTAGGAGCTATGATAATATATGCGTATGTGCGTTCAAAAAAATAATATATGCGTATGGAGAATTTTTCTTGTGCTTCATCAGTTTATGAGGTCTTATCTTATATATGAAGGCAGTGAACTAGTGAAGTGTACTCTGAGCTATACCATGGTACAGGCTTTAGTTCATATGCACATCTACCATCGGATGCCTTGACTGAATGGCCATGAGAATCTTCTCCGTTCTCAAGATTTAAGAGACCGGCGGACCTCCTGTTCTTTACGGGCTGGAGTTGTGTAGGTTCAGATTGTAAATGTAAAGTAGTTTGTTTAAAAAAAATTGAAGTAGGCAGAAAATGCTACTTTATTTCTTAGTGTTAAAACTAAGCACCGAAGTCGTTGCAGTATAGTGACGAGTATTCCCGTCTGTCACGCCGGCGACCCGGGTTCGATCCCTGGCAAGGCGTTTTTCAATATAATACTATTTTAGTTATTTGGGTTATAGCTGGTTCGATCCCCGGCAACAGCGTTTTTTAATGCACTGTACGGGACCCACCATCACATAAAAAAATCTGAGGCCCAACGTCCACGCTTTTCTTCCCCGGCCTCGGCTCGTTCCTCCGCCGACGCTACTTCTTCCCCGGCCGACCGACGGGGAGCGGATGAAGGCCACCGGTGCGCGCGATGGGCACGGGCGCTCCGGGCCAAGAGCGCGCCCGGCGGCGGCAGGGACTTTTTCGTCCTCAGCGTGGGCGACAACGAGGAGGTCAGCGACGACGCTTGTTCCTGCCGCCGCTACTTCTTCTCCGGTCGACGCTTGTTCCTGCCGCCGCCGTTGGTTCCTTCTCCGTTCAGATCGAACTTCAATCGGCCTCGTCTTCACGAATCGGGTTCTAGCTTCTTCCTCCTCATGCTCGGCGTGCAGATGGTGGGCGGGCCGCACAGATGGCTGCGGCGGCGCCGGCGTGAGCGGCGCGGATTGCTGCAGCGGCCTCGCGGGCGGCGCGAATGGCCGGACTCGCGGCGGCGCGGATGGCCGGGGCGGCAGTCTCGACGGCCGCGACGGAGAAAGATCAGGGCCCCGTTCAAACGAGTCGAAATACTGTTTCGGCTGTGCGTTCGGATGTACTTTTATTCTCACGTAACACTGTTGAATCATCCAAAATAATTCAAAATCTACTGTGGTACCTACCATCCAAACGAGCTAAAAATACTGAAGCGATTATAAGAGCGAGCAAGACCCAGATTGCATATGGGCGGTCTTGAGGCTAACGGGTGACTTTTGTTATGGACTGCTCTATTATTTCTTTCAGTGTTTCAGCTAGTCTCTAAAGGAATAGTTTAATCCCTGTAGACTGCCTTTGGTGCACATTGGGCTGCTGTTTTCGCAGGTACGCATAACATTGCTTCATGGTCAGAAGTCTTTTTTTTTTTGCGACTTCTTCATGGTCAGAAGTCAGAGCATGTCCACATCTCAATTCAAGACAGAAGAATCAGTCGTGAAGATTACAATGTCTGGCACGCCCATTCACTATGAAAACCACATGTAAGGCAAGTAGTTCACAGAGGGATCAGCAGCTTCAGGGAAGACTTGACGGAACTCCAACAATATATAGTTGTCAGAAGCTCAGCCAGGCGTCCCGCTCCGGCGTTTCCCCACCTCCGTTGCCCTCAACTCTTCTTCTTCCGGCGCTTCTCCTGCAGTCCTGCGTTCTGCTCGCCGCCTTGCCTCAGCCGTCAACTAGCCCGAACAGCAGCCTGCCTTGAGCCCTGCAGTAGGCGACGCAGGCAACCCCTTGCTCCTTTCCCACTTCTTTCCCCCAATTCGCCAAGGTGAATCGAAAATGCTCACTTCTCGTGTTATGAAATCTCGCCAAGCGGATTGATTTATTCTTAGAATTTCAGCAGTCGATGTCCTGTTAATTCTTGGTGAATTTCTTGCAGTTTTGGGAGGTGGGATGCATGCATAATGGAATGTGCTTTTCAGGCGTTCCTTTGTGAGAGCGTGGTGGGATCGGAGCAGAGTCATTAGATCAATTGTTTATGCTAAGACTCTTCTTTCCAAAGGTATCTTCCGCCTACCAACTACTTCATGACTTCTGCTGGGAGATTTAAACGTTGTTACCACCAATGATTTTTTGTCAAACCGTTTGAATTGTATCATGCCACTATCATGATGATCTCTGTCTCTGCTGGACCTGGCTTTGCAGATTCTTTTTGCCATCTCATTGTGTTTTCATGGCCATAGACGTTTTTGCAAAGTACTCCTACATAATCTTTTTTACACATATCGTACTTGTTATTTGTCCTCCACTTTGAGAGCACCTAACTACTGCAAAATTACCCTCTTTTTAAGTCTTGTACAACTCATTATTCAAAAAAAAAGTCTTGTACAACTATCTCGTTGGTGCTAATAGACTGTCACAGACAGTTCTACCTTCAAACTCCATCAGTTACAAATTTTTATACATGGTTCAAAAAACCGTTTGTGGTAACACTGACCCTAAATATTGATCTGTCATGATTGCTCCAAATCCATTTTTATGACAGTTCTGAACCATCACTGATGATTGCTTCCGACGAATTGGAGACTGCTTTATACTTCTTCTTTTTGACAAAATAGAACTATTCATGATCTAAACTGCCATATATTATAAAATAAGGGAACAAATAGTTGGAGTTCTTTAACAAAAGATAATGGTTCAGTCATTGTCAAAAAAAGAAGAAGAAGAAGAAGAAGAAATCCTCTTCTACGCTACATGTTGATGTGACCTAATTATCCCTTTATCAGGAGTAATGAGGTGATGATTCCTTGAAGAATTCAGTAAGCCACTGAATCGCAATTGGGCAACAAAGTAATGCCGACAATGTTGATCTTGCATCCATATTTACTGCTACTGCTAGTGGCATTAACAGTTTTCAGTTCTACTCCTGAGGCTGAGACCACCTCTGGATGCCCAGACAGCTGTGGAGGCATAGCCATCCAATATCCATTCGGCATTGGTGCGGGCTGCTTCCGTAAGGGCTTCAAGCTCATCTGTGACCGCAGTCTGGACAGGCCGGTGCTTGCTGGCACCACTAAACCCGTTCCACTCAACCACCTCTCCATCAGGACGGCAGAGGCCCGTGTGATGCTGCCTGTCGTGTGGCAGTGCTTCAACTCTTCGGACTCAGTGTATGCCTGGAGCGACGGCGATGTGCAGTTCAACCGTGAAGAGGTGTACCGTATCTCCAACGCCAGCAACCAGCTTGTTGTCATAGGCTGCAACACCCTGGGTTACACCTAGAGCCAGCGGAGTGAGGGCAATGACTACGACTATGGATACTACACTGGCTGCATGTCTTACTGCAACAACTCAAAAAGCGCGATGAATGGCGCCTGCGCTGGCGTCGGCTGTCGTCGTCTCGACATCCCACCGGGCCTCACCGACAACAGGATGAACTTCGAGGTGTACACCCACAAAAAAAGGCTGGGCTTCAGCCCCTGCGACTATGCCTTCCTGGTGGACAGGGACAACTACACGTTCCACACAACTGACCTGAAGATGGAAACCAACACCATGATGCCTGTGTAGCTGGATTGGGCCATCTGTGACAACATGACGTGTGACGACGCAAACAGGGCAGAGAGCTATGCTTGTGTGAGCGCCAACAGTGAGTATCGTGACTCCTACAATGGGTTTGGGTATGTCTGCAACTGCAGCATGGGCTACGAAGGCAACCCCTATATTGCAAACGGTTGCACCGGTAAGTGTGTTCACGCACGCTTCTTCTCTTGTACTTGATCGGTCAGAGGGTTGCAGACTTGCAGTGTTTAATTTTGGAGGACAAATTCTTGTATTGTTTTCGAATTCCAATATCAAGTTGCAACTTTAATTTGTCCTGAATAAATTGTTTCTTATTTTATTCACATTTTCCATATCATTTTATTGGTAATAATAGTCCAGTATATAGCACGCACTTATATACATGAAAACATATGTTGCAATTCAAGTTGGCTTTCCATATGGATACTTTTCCATTGTTCTAACGAAGTTGGTAAACAATGCATGCAAATATCAATGAGTGTGAAAGTCATCAAGAGTATCCATGCAGAGGTGTTTGCCGGAATAAACTGGGTTCCTACGAATGCAAATGCCCCAGTGGTTCCCACAGTGCTGATCTGTTTCATGATCCTTGCAACCCCAATTTTCCGCTTGCAGCAAAAATCACCATAGGTACATATGATCCGTATTTCATCTCCTGATGGTGGTCCACTCTTTATGTGTATATAAATTCTTGATATATATGAATACTGAATACTTTTACATCATTGTTCCAACAGATAGCATGGTATTTTAGGATAATGACATCATCGAAAGACCTACCCACGTAATGCTTTATTTAGAAATTCGGATAATAACAGTACATGCACTGCACAAATTGCGATTGTTTAGTAGATTTTATTGGCTTTTACAGGCCTGGTTTCTTTGTTGTTTATGTAGGTGCAATAGGTCGGTTTTTTTATCATAGCAGTTGCAGTGTTTGCCAGTCTTCTTGCCAAAGAGAAAAGAAAGATGAAAGATTATTTTAGAAAGAATGGGGGTCCTATAATAGAAGAAGTTAACAAGATTAAGCTCTTCAAGAAGAAGGAGCTGGAGCAAACACTTAAAAGTAGTAATCGTACTGGACAAGGTGGCTTCGGTGAGGTTTACAAGGGATATCTTAGAGATGAAACTCAGCGAGTAGCTGTCAAGAAGCCCAAGATTGATGTTAAATTAGCAGGCCAATTTGCAAACGAAGTTATTATTCAATCTCGAGTCTTGCACAAGAACATTGTTAAGCTCATAGGGTGTTGCCTAGAAGTTGATGTTCCAATTTTGGTTTATGAGTATGTGCCCAATGGTAGCCTCGACAGAATTCTGCATGACAGCAACAGGGTGCCTCTCAACTTGGATCTACGTCCACAAATTGCTGCACAATCGGCAAAGGGTCTAGCTTACATGCATTCAGAAATCACTACACCAATTCTTCATGGCGATGTTAAACCAGCTAATATACTTTTAGATGAGGACTTTGTACCAAAGATCTCCGACTTCGGTACATCTAGGATGATTACCGTTGATGAAAATTACGCCAGCACTATCATTAGTAACTGGGGCTACATGGATCCAGAATATGTGCTGACAGGCCTATACACGAGTAAAAGTGACGTCTACAGTTTTGGAGTTGTGCTCTTAGAGCTCTTTACTAGGAAGAAGGCCTTAGATCCTGATAACAACAGCATACTGGGGAATTCCCTTGATACTTACTCGAAGAAGAAGAGAGTGATTGAGCTTGTTGACCCAGAAATAGCAGCGATTGGAAACACTGGGGTTTTTCATAGTTTGGCAGAAATTATTGTTCAAAGTCTTAGTACTGATATTGATCAAAGGCCTGAGATGGCAGATGTAGCAGAGCGTCTTCAGTACCTGCTGAAGTGATCTCAGGGCAGATAAATTGAAACGCGATTTGCTGGTTATTACTTGATGCAATTTGTAGTTTAAATCTTCCGGATAGAACAAGAAATTGATGCTTGGCTAAAATAGGGCCAAATAGGTTCTATTGATCCGAAGAAAATGTGAGCACATGTGCATGTTTTAACTTGTCAGGTGCCATCTGTTCAAGAAAAAAGCATGTCAAGTGCCATGTTTAGTGTTGTAGCATGTATATAAAAGTTCATTTCTTTGTTTGCGACAATTGTTATATTCTTCGCTACTTTTATCATACACAATAGACCCCTCTGCTATTTTTTTTCTTCAAATTGCATTATCCTATCCAAGGCTCCATGCCTCCATGCCCATTAGGCCGCGCCTTCCTTTCTGATTGGGCCATAGCAATAAAAATCTAAATGACATTTTGATTATTATGCAGAAAACTAAGTGTTCATCGTTACATTATCAAGAGATGAAGTGAAGAAACGAAAAAACCGTGCCTTCCTTTCTGATTGGGCCAGTGCAATAAAAATCTATATGACTTTTTTTATTATTATGAAGAAAACTAAGTGTTCATCGTCACATTATCAAGAGATGAAGTGAAGAAACGGAAAAAAATAACTGTACTTTGGAGTATCAGGATGCAATCATTGGTTTAAGTAGTATCAGGATGCAACGGCGTTTTGTATGCACTGTTTTAGTTATTTTTGCGGTCAAAATACTTTACGCTACTGTTTTTCCTATGCACTATTTTAGTTATTTTTGCGGTCCATATATACTCCAATAGTCACGTTGCGTTGCTGTTTTTCCACGCACGCATAGCATCCTCATCGTCAGAAGTCAGCATGTCCCCATCTCAATTAAAGACGGAATCAGTCGTGAAGATTACAATGTCTGGCACGTCCATTCACTTTGAAAACCACATGCATGGCATACGGAATTTGGTGTGGTAAACAATCCCTCAATTCCTGGAAAGAGACGTTTCGTCAGGAAAACCCTTTGCAGAACTGGCATTTCTTCAGCGTTTCCAGTAAAAATTAGCGAACAGCGCTAAAAACTTCCGAGAATCTCGGACGCAGTTCATAGCTCTTCTGACTATACTCCTAAAAAGAGCAAACTGGGCCCGTTCATTACCCGTGGTGAAGCCGCTTCGAATGTTGCGCCACACTCCCAGGCCCCTCTCCGCTCGACCCCGCCCCCAATCTCCCCTGCCTCTGCACGATCGCCCCCTGCTCCACCCCGCCCCCAAGAGCAATGCTAACGATACGGCCGGCTGCTGAATCCTTACAGCACTGCTTCTCCTCTCTCGTTCCCTCATTCCTCAATCCTCCACCTTAAGCATTCAGACTGCTTACAACCGTTACAATTGCTCTAAGCCACTGCCCTACTCCACCACGTCGCTGCGCTGCCCAGCCGCCCTACCTGCAATCCCCCGGTCGCTGCTCCCTCTCCCACTCCAGATCTGCAACGTCGGCCTCGAGACATCGAGAGCGCTGAGGTGGAGGCCGATTCTACCGATGGCGTCGTGGAGAACAAGACCCAGCCGGCCAAGGGCCTGCGGCACCGCCATGCCCTGCTAAGGGCAGTGCTGTCTCAATGGCTTTGAGATCCAGCGAGAACAGCCCACCCTTCTCTCAATGACTCAATCCCATCGGTTCCAGGGGCTCCTCACCTTCGCCACCGTGCTTGACCTGCCCACCGGTGCCCATACCGTCGCGCCCATCGCCGACCACGGCAAGCCCGTGGCTTCGCCTGACCCGAACTCAGGTATGTCCACATCTCTTAATCTCTTCTTCTCAGGGTCTCTGAATTTCTTATCTCTTATTTCCAATGGGTTTCTAAACTGAGAGATTGTTGGATAGATAGATGATTCAATGTGAAACCAGCAATGCCCATGTTAGACAAGGCTTTTAAATTAACGCTAAGAGATTTTTGCTGGAACAAGTTTCTTCCTCTTCGTGGCCAGATCAAGAAAGTGAATTGTTCAACAATTAGATTAGATTTATTGGAACACGTGATTCCCTGCTCACTTTTCCCTCCCTACACCTGCATCACACACCACAGTATTGCCACAGTATTGTTTAAGTGAATGAACAACGATATGCATCGATCCACAATGCTACTATCTCTCTACCAACTCCTTAGCTGACAATCTGTAGCTACGTTATTTAGTTTATATATGATTTGACCCGTTAGTCTTATATGGTGATACCTTTAAACATGCATCTTCTTTATGGTTGAACAACATGAAGTTCAAAGAGTTCTTGAGCAATGCTAATATCTCTGTATCAACTGGTATCCATTAGCTGAAAACATGAAGTTCAAGAGTTGTTCTTTCTGGTTTGCATGTCTCTGAATTTTCTACTAGGATGGAATCTTACAACTGTTGCATGGACGTACATGGATCTTTGTCTTTGATATGCAAATCTTGAACTTGTAAACATGGTTGCAAATTGGAAGCTGATGATTACTTAAATTGCGAAACTGTGTCAAATCTTGAACTTCTAAACATGGTATTATCTTCCTTTTCTGTACAGATAATATGGAGACGCACGTTCGGCTGGTGGACTCAACAGTGAATTTTGGATGGTTGTGGATGATTCAATAGTGTTCTGTGAGGGAGAATAAGCTGAAACAAGCTGGTACATGACCAGCCGAACGGGGTGAAAGTTAGGGACACATGTTTGGAGTTTGAGAACTACAAAAGCTAGATGACAAACAAAAAAAATTCACCATCATATTTGTTCAAATATAAAGAACAAGACTTCACTATAGAAACAGAAATTTGTGAATATCTTTAAGGCAGAAATATGTGACAACAAAGAAGCTGCAAACATAGGTAGGTCCTTCTAATCCCTTTAAGTTTTCAGAAGTACCAATATAGGGAACAACCTCACACACATGCTAGCAGCCGGCCAATGTTCCTAAAAAAACAAAGACTTCACATGCTGTGCAACACCCTAGAGGAAATATAGAAATTCAAACATATCTCGCAATTGCAATTCGAGTAGAACAACATCAAAGTAGTGTATGCTCCATCGGTAAGTAGGAAAATATGTTAACTCATGACATGCTCCACTGGTAAGTAGGAAAAATGTACCAAGCTTCAATTCCTCAGCACTTCCAAAGTCAAAGCAAAGTTTCTTCCTTTTCAATGTTTCACTAACAATATGTTATACATTCGATAAAAAAGTAGTTTGCACAGGAATAGAAAGTAGCTTGGTCAACGGCTTTTTAGTTGTAGAGATAGAGATTCATCAAGAATATGTTGGAGGGGAAAATGATTTGTACTGCCCTCATTTCTACCATGCAAACCTGGGAGAATACAAACAAGCTGAACTCATTTCTACTGAAGAAAGGGCATCTCATGACATCGGATTGACCAAACATTTCATCAGAGATCCACCAACCACCATTGCAGGTATGTAGTTAGAATTGGAAATAATCCAAAAAAGGCCTTTACATCTGTGCATTGCAGAGAGATTTAATTGCTTAGTATGGAGGAGGGTATACAAAACTACTAGCTGTGTTATAGCATCGGCAATGCAAGAATTATATTTGGTTGCACATTCAGACTAACTGCACTATACTCTGCGGTAATGAAAATTTCAGAGCAGATTAATCGCCTGAGACTGCAAGTTGCTACTCCGTGTGACAACGAGGCTGGCAGCAACAGTAACTGGCTTCCATGAACTGGAATACTTGATGGCCTGGCATTCAACGCTGGCACACCATCTGTTTTTGTCCAGCATTTAGCTACTTCTTTGCATGCGACATGTAGTAACTATTATATATAACTATCTGTATTTGGCATTCCAAATTTAGTAGATCCTAATGTCTAACGGCCTTGATTGACAGCTGAAATAGACGTGTTGTAATGAACTCCCATGCAAGTTTCACAGTTTCAAGATTGATTCATCTTATATGTATGGTTTGATTAATATATTTCCACTTGTATCAGTGATGCAAATTAATAGATCATGTGTGGTTTTAACTCTTGAAAACCTTTCTTATGACAGCAACTAATTGGATTATCATAGTTTTGTAACCCGTAGCAATGCACGGGCATTAGCTAGTCTGACTATAAATAAAAGGTTATGCAAACGCCTTCACTCGCGTTTGTATTTCGTAGCAGAACATGAGAACGCTGAACCATCCCCGTACGCCTCAATCTGATGAGTGATGACCCTCCAGGCTAGCGAGGACAGGTCGCCGTGGACGGCACGCGAGCTCCCGAGAGGTTTGAAACGCTTCCGGGTGACGTGTGTCAGGATCTCGCGGATAAAATCTGATAAGAATCGAGCGATAGGTGATAATCTGGAAGGGGAAGGCGAGTGACAGTGATAGCGAGAGGGAGGAACAGATAAAAGTTACTCCCTCTGTCCACAAAAGAAGCAATTCTCGTTTTTCGACAAGTCAAACATTTTGAACTTTAACTATAATTATATAAAAGAGTACTGACATTTATATTGCAAAATAAATACCATTAGATTTGTTATAGAATATATTTTTATTATAAATTTATTTGGAAACATAAATGCTAATACTATTTAGTATAAACTTGGTCAAAGTTGAGTCAGTAAAGTATTTCCTTTTCCACTAAAGGCGAGAGAACAGAGAACGGCATGAAGAGATCTCATCCGATGAGGCGTTTTCACCACACTCCCTTCTGCAGGTTCTTCACACTTTTCGCCATCAGACATTCAGAGTTTCATTCGGTCCTGACAAGGGTGAAGAAGCGCAGAGCCGCACTGCGTTGAACAACGAGAACCCGTCTGCCGTCACACAGCTGCTGAGATGTGAGCGGGCGGGACGAAGCTGAAAATCATTGCACCCGCCGCTACCTTGACGCCTTGGTTCTAATCGTACAACTAACTCGACACACCAAAGCCCCGCCCGCCCCGCGCCGTCCGCCCGTAGAAAGCTACTGTACGCGCCTACGCCCCACTCCACATCGATCGATCGCCTTCGCCTCGTCCTCGTCCCGCCCGTGCTCGTCGTCGACTCCGCCTGCCTGCCTGCGCGCCACTCCCTCGACATCGTCGGGCGCCAAAACATCCCGGCCACGCCCTTCCGTATGGAGCTGGCGGGGCGGAGCGGGCGCTGTCGCTGGAGCGCGAGGTGCTCGGGGTCCAGGTGACGGGGAAGGGGGTCGTCGTCAGGGCCTTCGTGGCGGCGGGCGAGGCGAGGGCGCTGCCGTGTGCGGGTGCGGCCACGGGCGCGGGAGGGAAGCGTTGCAGGAGGGACTTCGTGCTCGAGATGGCGGACGGCGAGGGCGCCGCCGTGGCCTGGGGCGAGAGGCTCACACGCTGCCTCGACTCCTTCGGTACGTGTGCTTTCACTGCTCACCAATCAGGCAGTCAGGCTCACGCGTCAGCCTGTTCGGCTGGTGCTGATACGGGGATCGTGGATTATTATGGCTGCTTGGTTTGGCACAAAAAAAATACTGTTCTGGTCAGAAAAATACTGTTTTGGCCGGAAACTAGTTCCCTGTTTTAATTTGCACTGTACCAGCTTTCAGTCTAATTAATGATGAAAGATCAGCACCAGCTAATGAGCTAATCACTTCTGTGATGCAATTTCTTCCACAGGCCGGCCCAAGAGATTGTTCGTCTTCGTCAACCCCTTCGGCGGCAAGAAATGCGCCAAGAAGATCTACGACACGGAAATCAAGCCTCTGTTTGAAAGCTGCGGGTGTGAGCATCACACTGCAAGGTTCAGCATGTAAATAAAAAATGTGGATGCTTTTCCATGATTTTTTTTGATAAATTTTCCATGAATTTTTTACCAAGTAGTAGGAGTAATGTTTCCCCATGTTGTTGCGGTTATATCGATCCGTTTTGTTCGTAATCTGTTTCAGAGACCGAGTCGAGGTGGCGTCTTCCCTCGACCTCGTAGAGTACGACGGCGTCGTCTGCGTTAGCGGTGACGGCGTCCTCGTGGAGGTTAGCGATACATCACGCAGCCTGATGTCTGAATTTTTTTAATAAGTAGGTAACGTGTGTTCACGGCTGGCATGACAGGCCTTCAATGTAAGCGCTGACTTGCGATTTCTTCATCCTTAGCTTATTGAGCTAAATGCAAGTACTAGCTAAATGCAAGTTGACTCCATTCTGTTAATTCATTGGTACATATCAAACTTTATTGAGCTCGTCTGGAATGCGGCTGTTTATTTAAGCAAATCCAAAACCGTGCGAATTCGTTGTCAGTTGTTCCCCGGTCAAAGTTGTTTGCACTTGACGTGATACCCATTCCTCGTCCTTACACTACAAGTGCCTTCCAAAGATTTCGTGAAGGAAATATTATCTGAAAACGTACTGTTGCTAAAAACCACTCCTACAGTACTGTTCATATTCTGAAGAAAACTAGCAGCCGCAGCCGGCAACAGACGGTGGAGTAGCGCAGCCGAGCAGCCTGTAATAAAACGTGCTTACAACTCTCATACCGTACTGTCTCTCCGTTCGAAAAAGTTGGAATTATTTTTCACATCAGGTTCATTTTTGTCTCACGCTGTGATTTCGTACGTAGGTAGTGAACGGAATTCTTCAACGGACAGATTGGGACGAGGCAATAAAAGCGCCTATCGGGGTAATTCCTGTTAGCCCCTGGATCTCTCGGGACGGATGAGCCGATCATTCACCTGCGTGGTCGATCACACGTGGGCTCCGTTCGTTTGTCTTAAATTTAACTTGTTCAGCTTATTTTTTTAGCTGAAACAGTATTTTTCTCTCACAACAATTCAGTCGGAAAAGTATTTTTCAGTCAGTTTCAGCCAAAGTTTAGACCAGCGAACGGGGCCATGTGTAAAAGAGAGGGAGAACAGAGCGCACACACAGCATAAGCACCAGCGTTGACCGAAGCTCTGCAAAGGAGATGGCAAACTGAACTCTCTCTTTACTGAGTTGCAGTGGAAAGCTATATATACAACTCTTCCCATCTAATCCTACAGTGACTAGATGTGACAGCATGACTAACTTTGACGTCTACCCCTGCTGTGGCTATAGTGCGGCAGGGGAGCCTTTCGGCGCCTGCCCCTGCAGCGGCTACAATGCAACAGCAGGGAGCCCTTTTCAGCGCCTGCCCCCTACCGTGCGTTCACACAGGGGAGCAGCAGATTACTTAATAATTCTTCCCCTATTCCTGCTGTTAACCCTAGAACCCCTCCATACCGATCATCTTCTTTAGTTCCGTGGCCCGAAGACGGCCGAGCGACTTGGTGAGGACGTCCGCGATTTGCCGACCAGTTTTGACGAACTCAATGACGATCTGCCCTCATCGATACAGTCCCCGAGAAAGTGGAACTTGACGTCGATGTCCTTGCTCTGGTCGTGGAGAACCGGATTCTTCGCAAGGGCGATGGCGGGCTGGTTGTCCACCATCAGTGCTGGTGGGTGAGCTTCCACACCGGTTAGCTCGCCCAGCAGCCGGCGCAGCCATACAGCTTGGCACGCCGCTGTGGCCGCCACCACGTACTCTGCCTCGCACGTGGACAGCGCCACCATATTCTGTTTCAGCGACAGCCATGAGATTGAAACCGACCCGAGGAAGACGAGCACGCCAGAGGTGCTCCGCCGTCCGTCGATGTCCCCCGCCATGTCTGTATCGCTGAACACAGTGAGGTGCAGCCCACTTCCGTCGGTCTTAGGGAAGACGATCCCATGATCCATCGTCCCTTTGACGTAGCGCAGCATCCGCTTCACTGTAGCCCAGTGATCCTCTCGGGGATCCTCCATGAAGCGGCTGACGTAGCCCACGACGAACGCAATGTCCGGCCTCATGTGAACTAGGTAGCGCAGACCGCCGACGATGCTCCGATAGAGTGTTGCATCTACCTTCGCCGTGGTACTGGCCTTCGTCAGCTTAAGCCGCTCCTTCATCGGAGTCACGCACGGCTTACACTCAGCCATGCCCGCTTCGCTCCAACAGCTTCGAGGCGTGCATGCTCTGACCGAGCGTGAGCGCCTCCTTCCCCTGTCTCACTTCGATGTCGAGGTAGTAGGAGAACGCGTCAAGATCGCTCATTCGAAAACGAACCGCCATCTCACGCTTGAAGCTGTCGATGTCCTCCGCACGCGCGTCGGTGACAATCAAGCCGTCCACAAACATGCCGACGATGAGCTCCTCCTTCCCCCATCGACGCGTGTAGAGCGCGTGCTCGGTTGTGCACCCTGTGAACCCAAGCTCGCCCAGCGTGGCGTCAAGCTTGGCGTTCCACACTCGCGGGCCCTGTCGTAGCCCTTAGAATGCCTTGCGCAGTCGGAGCACCCTGTGCTCCGCTACCTTGACGACGAAACCCGGAGGTTGCCTGACGAAGACCGTCTCCGCTAGCTCGGCATTGAGAAAGACCGATTTTACGTCCAAGTGATGGACACGCCAGTCCTTCGCTGCTGCCAAAGCCAGAAGCAGTCGGATAGACTCCATGCGCGCTACCGACGCAAAGACTTCCTCGAAGTCAATACCCTCGCGCTGGACAAAGCCTCGGCCGACGAGGCACGCCTTGTGCTTGACAATGGCGCCGTGCTCGTCCCACTTGACCTTGTACACCCACTTTAGGCCGATCGAACGGCATCCTGGAGGTGAATCAACGAGCTCCCAAGTCTCGTTTTCCTCGATCGCCTTCATCTCCTCCAGCATCGCCTGTCGCCAATTTGCATCGCGCTCGGCCAGCGCGAACGTAGGTGGTTCCTCTACACTACCAAGATTTTTTCTCATGGTATTGGGTTGTAGCTCCACAAGTTTGTCTACCATGAGAAAAAGAATCTTGTCTCTTGTCCTTTCTTTTATTTGCTTTATTACTTTCATTGCTTTCAAGTTCCTTTGAGTGACAACTAGGATTCATGGTAGTGTAGTTAGCATTGGTTTCTTTCTTGCTCTCTAAGGATATTACTCTCGGTGTGATCTTTGCTAAGGACAAGATTAGCTTGTTGGCCCTAAGGATCCGTTAGATCGCTTTTTATTTGCTTTATTACTTCTAGACGGTGGGTTTCAATACCATGTACAAACTTCTGGAGCCTCCTCACAACTACACCACTGAGGATGGTCATCAAGTCCTCCAACAAGCTATCTAGGTGTTGGCAAACACCAAGAGTATCAAGTCTTCATACTTCTAACTCAAGAAACCCAAGCAAGAAAATCAGTAGCACTCATGGCTAACACTCAATCCTCACTTCTTAGCTTGAGTAACTCTAAAAATGCTTCACTATCCTATCTAGAAGTGTTGGCAACATTGAGGTAGAAAAAACAACTCCAAATGAGCTAGGGGTAGCATTTATATAGAGGGTAAAGAGACTGTTAGACAATGAAAAAGCTAGCAAACGCAGTGATCCGTCGGCTCCAAAAGGCTACGACAGATCATACGGTGGCGTTGTGCTGGTTGATTCATTCAACAATTTGTTGGTAATATACTAGAATATTCCCTATTGTATGATACACTAGTAGGTCACATAGTCCCATCGGATCATACGATGAACTATAGAGACTTTGTCAACTGATCACTATGCCCATCTTGGCCCACCAGATGATCCGCTGAGGTTCATGCTTGGCAATATTCTTAAAAGGTTGATGCATCCCAACTATGCACTCATATGATTGCTAAGCCTCCAACCTCCCCTATCTCATGAGCCCATCACTTTTTCTTAGGTAGCCAAGCAAGTTTAGGCTACTTGTATTGATCTACATGTCTTCAGGACCCATATCTTCTTTGGGAGTTTCCTATTGGCATGAATGCCGATGAAGGAGCATCTCCTCCTAAGGTTGGTATTCTATGCCAAGCTTGTTGATGTATCTTGAGGATTGAAGGAGCATCTCCTTAAACTTGTATTATCTTCCTGCAAGTCTGTAAGTGATAGAGGACAAACAAATAGCATTGCAAGGTTCATCGTTAGAGGGTGAAGTTTTCTTAGATTTCTTGGAGACCTAAACATCATCAAGAAGTTCGTTATATGCCACCTCAAGTTGATTGTGTGTGATGCAAAGAGTGTTATGTTCATCTTGGATGGCATTATAGGCAAGATCAAGTTCTTCATGGGACTTGGTTAGCTCAATATGAAGGTCCTTGATCTTGGCAAACCCACTCTCTATCTCCTTGCAAAGTTTCTCATTGTGCTTTTGGGCAAAGTCATTGTACTTAGCAAGTAACTTGGAGTGTTTGCTCTCAAGTTCCTTGTTTGGTACACTTTACTTAGCACTTGAATTGTGCTTTGCAAGGAGAGCGGATGGTTGAGCTCAAGGGTCTCATTTTGGGTCTCAAGAGACTTGATCTTCCCTTTTTGCTTCATGATGATGGCAGTGAACTCATCAAGCAAGTTCATTAAGTCATTAGAAGTTAGCTCATCATCACTTTTACTTTCACTACCATTACTATTTGTTATCATACATTTGGCCATTAGACACATCAGAGGTAATGGTAGTGTGAAGAGCCATGAGTGATGGTAATACTTGCCATGTCTTCCTCACTTGAGCTCGAGTCTTCATCTGAGATCGAATTCTTGGTGATGAGGACTTGTCGAAGAGCTTCTTGTTACTCTTCTTCTTGGGCTTTTCTTCTTTGTCTTCTTCCTCCTCACTCTCCTTCTTCTCTCCCTTACCCTTGTCAAAGTTCTTCTTCTTGTTAGCTTCTGGATAGCCCACCAAACATCATACTGGGTAGGCCCATGACGTGTTGCCGGTTATAAAACACCGACAATGACATGTGATCGTAGTCACTACGATTGTAGCACTTGACCTTGTCCATCTTCTTGGGCTTGAACTTGTTTCTCTTGGGGTCATAGTTCAACTTTCACGGCCCAAAATTTATGATTTGGGATGTGACAAGAAAATACTCTAGAAAATAAATGATTTAACATTTATAAAATTTTCCTAACCTTTTGTTTATATGTTGACAATTTAGATAGTGACAAAAAGAGTTTCTAATTTTTTAGAATTTAATTCAATTATTTTATGCATTTCACAAAGAATGAATAATGTCTTTGATGCAATAAATTTTTAAATGTTTTCAAATACGCCTAAGATTTGACCCAAAATCATAGCTTCTGAAATCCATCGTAAAGTCTTTGAAATACTATTTCCTAGAAAACCCCGATCAAAGTCTTGAAGACCCTAATCTTGTCTCTGCACCGAGCCTCTGCTCTCTGTATCAAATGACTAGCGCCAATCTCGAATCCAGTGCTTCCAACAAATCTTTAAAATCCAGTCAAATCCTTCGAAACAACACTCTAATCCAAGTTCCAAAAATCATGATCGGTCTTTAATCATGCAAAACCCTAGCTCAAATGCTCGAAATATCCATTGCTTGAAATCTAAAAAAAATCCTTAATTGACTCCTTGCCAAAACCCTCCCTCCTATCTTTCTCGTATTTCCCTTCTCCGGATCAAAACCCTCGCAATCGACTTGCTCGGGCTTCTCTCCAATTGAACCCAATATCCCAACTCCTCTCTTTCCAGTTTCCACTGATGGATCAAGTCTACAACTCCGTCTTCCCTTCTCACCTTGGACCAAACCCAAACCAATCCTCTCCTTCCCTGGCCAATCCCCTTCCTTTGTCCTTCGGTTGCCGCCTCTTCCATTTCTTCCCCTTCATCTCCCTCTTCATTCACCTATAAAATGGAGTCCCTATATCTCCGCTAACTCCTTTTGCAGCCCTATTTTATGCCTCTCCCTTGATACTAAACCTATCCCAAAAAGAATGCAATTCTAAATGTATTCTTGGTTGCAATGCCTAAAGTTTCACCAAATATATAGATAAAAATATTAATGTTTATGACATCAAATAAATATATTATGAAAATACGAATCTAATAATACATATTTAGCATGATAAATATTATTATTTTTATATAAATTTGGTCAAACTTGATAGAACATAGCACTGTTCTAGAATAGCATGCTTTTTGGGATGGAGTGAGTAACCTCACTCTTCTGTTCCTTTCACGTGGAGGACACAGAAGTTCCGTGTGACACAAATGTCGGTTTTTCATCTAATCTAAACATACGTACGACACAAATGGATGAGAATCATAAATGGGATATGAAAACATAGAGTAATTGATATAATTAGCAAAAATCTATCACAACTACAAAAAGATATCAGAGTATCTTTATAGGTATTGAATTCGAAATAAATAATCAGACGGAAAGCAAAGATAAGCAATTTTAGTCAACTATATGCTCCCAAATTTATCCATGAGTTTCAATACTTATCTCTTTTATAAAAAACATTAATCCCTTAAAATTAACAACCCGTGTAGGAACATGGGTTGACGAGCTAGTAAGCATAATGAGAAACAGAATGGGACCACCAAGTTGCCCATGAAAAAGATGATCACAGGTCTACAGTTCTTTTATCAAAAAAGGAACCAGAGAGTTACAAAGTACCAGAACATCACCGCACAAAACACGAGCGACATCAGTTTGAACGTAGGGGAAAATGGCTTGTTCGGCTTTTTTTTTTAGCCGGAGCAGTGTTTTTCTCTCGCATCATTCCAGCCTAAACAGTGTTTTTCTCTCGCATCATTCCAGCCTAAACAGTGTTTTCCCGTATGAACAGTGATCCAGATTGGAGGAACCAACAAGCAGGTAATCACCAGACTGTCGCTGACAAGTGACGAGCCATAGCCTGGCGGCTCGCCTGGTGCTGGAGCCTGGTCGCCTGGAGAAGACAACTAGACAAGTTGGAGCTGTGGAGGTTGGCAATCCAATGCCAGCGGCAATCGGCCAGAGCATGTTACTGAGGTCGAGGCCCCAGTGACAATGGAATCGAGGTGGAGAGGATGTCTCCGCTCGTAACATGCTGCGTTACAGCGGAAACAAGATCGCTGATCAACTGATAGAAATTAGACTAGTTCAGTAGTTGTTACGAAGAAGAAAAAAGAAGTATTTCAGAAATCAAGAATTTATATACTTACTTGAACAAAATATTCCGTAAGCATGAGTGAAGCCAGATCTTTCACCTTTTAGTTGCAAAAATGGGCATGCTTCATCTAAATTGCTTTCAGCGGATATGGGCAATCTTCGGCCAGCTTTCTCCATCAGGTGCTCGGCAGCTCTCCTTCAGGAGTTCACAGTCCCATATGTCTATGCGCTGAAGGGTGGATGGCAGATCTGGTAACGACGATATATTGGGGCAGGCATGGATATCGAGATTCTTCAAACTAGACAGACAATTAAGGTTTTTTGGTAGGTACTTCATTTCACTATCGCATAATCTCAGATGCTTGACAGATGAGAAACTTGCAGACTCTTCAAACGTAACTGATGATTCCTTGCAATCTTGAAGAGAAAGAGACATTGGGATTGTAAAACCTTCGCCATGAGCATGTGGTTTAGCAATTCGATGCTACTAGCAGTGAGTGATTCCTGGACACGGAACTGTGAGATGCACTCAACAGAGAGGTTTCGAACCTCTGTCAAATGTAAGTTCTGGAGATACAGGGAAGACAAGCCTTCAAGAAAGCACAGATCGGGGAAATGACCTAGTGACAATGTTTTAAGTGAGATCAGATGGGCAATCGACAAGGAAGGGGAGCTTCTGCAACAAAACATACTAAGGTCTTTCAGTTGTGGCAAGCCATTACTGAATGAATCAGCTGCAAGCATACAACCACATATGAAGAGCTCAACAAGGGACAACCGTAAAAATTCTGCTCCACGTGCCAGCTCTAAACAAGGGCAGAAATAAAATCTAGACTCTAAGAGAGATGCAGCAGCTCTTAAGCCACCTAATGATCGGAGACACCAACAAGATGAGATGGACAAGCAGTCAAGCTTTGTCAAATGCTTAAATACCTCTTCTGAAGGAAGCGCAGTTAAAGTCATAATCTTATCTAAAGCCAAGGTTTCCAATGAAGCCAGGCCACCAAGGCAAGCAGCTAAAGCTCCATCTGTAATACTGCATGAGTCAAGCTCAAGACACCGAAGCCCTGATGCTGGAACCAGTGGCAGTGCAATGCTCCTTCCATAAATGAGCCTCATCCTCTGTTCATGGCAACATAGCCATGCCCTGATGGAATCTTCTTTCACAAATAATTCATCTCTCTTTTCATGTCGAGGATCCATTTGTATAATTCGGAGATGTTTTGATATGTCATCATCGATCAATGTCACCAACTGCTTCAGAGATGAATGTTCTTCTAATAGTACACTCCTAATACATGACCCTGAATCCACCTCCCATAACGATGCAAGTTTAGATGCCAGGTAGTCGGTAATTATGTTTTTCCTCAGATCATGCTGTTCCAGCTCCTTTTTGGTGATAAAACCATTGACTGCGAGGCCACTCAGTTGAGGCGGTGGTGTCAGACCTTCTAGAATATCCAAGTGTAAACTATCTTCTGCATCCATATCATTCTCGCCACTCCAGACAAGCTGCAACTCTTTGAGACGATTTTTCTGATATAGCTTCGACTCCAAGGCTTCGCCCTTTCCGGTGATATTCTCAAGGTTTTTTTATTGTCAAACAGCCAGCAAGTTCATTCAAGTCCTTCAGCTGTCGCAACTCATATCCCTTCTTCTTATGCACAGAAAATTCATGCAGGTGTTGGAGCGAAGTAAGCTTGCCTATATTGGGAATTTGGCAAAGGGGTCGTTCATACAACCAAGTATGTTTGATGAAACTATAGTACCCTTCAAGACGATGTAGCTTACTTAAATTGCAGAGTTTGTTGGGAAAACTTTTGACTTTGCCATTTAACAAAAGAAATTGTAAGTGATAAAGAGTACATAATGATTTTGGGAGCTCAGAAACTAATGTCCTGATGAGGTTCAAATACCGAATGTGCTTCAGCTCACCAACAGATCCAGGCAACTTGCTGCTGTTGTAAAATGACAAACATAATACACGCAACTTCTTCATATGCTGCAGTATCTTATCAAAAAGATCACTTGCATCATCGATCAGTGGATCGATGCAGATAACAGTACGTAAATGATGTAGCTTGTGGATAATTTGTCTATGCTTTTCCATACTCTCAACACGAATGGATAGATGTCGAATAGTGCATGCTATTTCTGTCACCTTATCATCTTCTAATCTGAAGCAGTCTTCTCTAGCCAGTGACTCTGCCAAATCATGAAGGAGATCGTGCATGATATACCATGGACCAATATATCTTTCAGAAACCAACTGAAAGAAAGATCCACAGACCATCTCATTGAAGTATTCAGTTGCAACATCCTCCATTCTCCTACTCAGTTTGTATGAATCAACGAGGCCCTCTGCAACCCAAAGATGAACCATCTCGTCAATGTTATACTTGTGGCCTTTTGGAAATAAGCTGCAATACTGAAAGCACCTCTGCGTAAGTGGATCTAACTTCTCGTAACTCCACAACAGAGCTCTCCTGGGCTCGCTTAGATTGTCAATCTTTAGAGTAGCATTCCATTCACTCGCATCCTTTTTCCTGCTCAACCGGGAACCCAGAACTTTTGCTGCCAGTGGAGATTGTCCAAGCCTTTCAGCAATCTTCTCTGCAGTCTGTTCTTTCAGCCGCAACAGCTGATCTTCAATTTCTACTCCAGAGAAGGCATGGTGTTTGAAGAGTGCCAAGAACTCAGCATCTTCCATGTTACCCATGTTGGCCCACAGGATCACCAGCTTAGGTGAGTAAACCACTCATCAGTCTTGCCGAGCACCCGTTAGTGTTGTCGAGTACCCACTAACCGTGCTGACCACGAACAAGCGTTGTCCGTCCCACGCACTATGGCTAGAGCTAGAAGAAGAAGGAAGAACAGAGCATAAACACACATTACAAGACAACAGCGTTGGCCGAAGCCCTGTATAGGAGATGGCTAATCTGAACTCTCTTTACTAAGTTGCCGTGGTAGTTTATTTATACAATTCTATCCATCTAGTCCCAGTACAACTGTCCTGCTGCAACAGTGACTAGATAACATACAGGGCTGACTCTGTGCCGGCCTCTGCATGTGGCTACAGTGCTGCAGGTGAGCCGTGCGAAGCCTGCACCTGCAGCGGCTACAGTATCACAGCAGGGAGTCTTTCGGCGCTGTCTTCCCTTGCTATGTTCACATAAGGTAGCAGTAGATTATCTAACAATCTTTCCCTAATCCTACTGCTAACCCTTGTACCCCCTCCATGACGATCATCTCCTTCAGCTCCGTGAGTCGAAAACGTCCGAGTGGCTTGGTGAGGTCGTCCGCGAGTTGTTGATCAGTTTCGACGAATTCGATGACGATCTGCCCTTCATCAACACAGTCCCTGAGGAAATGAAACTTCACGTCGATGTGTTTGCTCCGGTCGTGCAGAACCGGATTCTTTGCGAGGGCGATGGCGGGCTGGTTGTCCACCATCAGTGCTGGTGGGTGAACTTCCACGCCGGTCAGCCGGCGCAGCCACACAACTTGGCACGCCGCTGTGGCCGTCGCTACGTACTCTGCCTCGCACGTAGATAGCGCCACCACCTTCTGTTTCAGCGACAGCCATAAAATTGAAGCCGACCCAAGGAAGATGAGCACGCCAGAGGTGCTCCGTCGTCCGTCGATGTCCCCCGCCATATCTGCATCGTTGAACACAGTGAGCTACAACCTACTCCCGCTGGTCTTTGAAAAGATGATCCCATGATCCACCGTCCCCTTGACGTAGCGCAGTAGCCGCTTCACCGTAGCCCAGTGATCCTCTCTGGGATCCTCCGTGAAGCGACTGACGTAGCCCACAACGAACGCAATGTCCGGCCTCATGTGGACTAGGTAGCGCAGACCGCCAACGATGTTCCGATAGAGTGTTGCATCCACCTTCGCCGTGGTGCTGGCCATCGTCAGCTTCAGCCGCTCCTCCATCGGAGTCACACATGGCTTGCACTCAACCATGCCGCTCCTCTCCAGCAGCTTGGAGGCATACGCGCTCTGACCGAGCGTGAGTTCCTCCTTCCCCTGTCTCACCTCGATACCGAGGTAGTAGAAGAGTGCACCGAGATTGCTCATTCGAAAATGAGCCGTCATCTCACGCTTGAAGTTGTCGATATCCTCCGTGCGCGTGCCAGTGACGATCAAGTCGTCCACATACACGCCGATGACGAGCTCCTCCTTCTCCTGTTGCCGTGTGTAGAGCGCGTGCTCGGTTGCGCACCTCTGAAACCCAAGCTCGCCCAGCCTGGTGTCAAGCTTGGCGTTCCATGCTCGTGGAGCCTGCCGTAGCCCGTAGAGCGCCTTGCGCTGTCGAAGGACCCTGTGCTCCTCTCCTTTGACGGCGAAACCTAGAGGTTGCCTGACGAAGACCGTCTCTGCTAGTTCGTCGTTGAGGAAGGCCAATTTAACGTCAAGTGATGGACGCGTCAGTCCTTTGCTCCTGCCAAAGCTAGTAGCAAACGAACTGACTCCATGCGCGCTACTGGCGCAAAGACCTCCTCGAAGTCTATGCCCTCGCGCTGAACAAAGCCTTGGGCGACGAGGCGTGCCTTGTGCTTGACAATGGCGCTGAGCTCATCCCGTTTGACCTTGTACACCCACTTTAGGCTGATCCGACGGCATCCTAGAGATGGATTGACGAGCTGCCAAGTCTCGTTTTCCTCGATCGCCTTCATCTCCTCCAGCATCACCCGTCGCCAGTTTCCATCGCGCTCGGCCAGCGCGAACGTGGGTGGTTCCTCGGCACTAACGAGTAGCGGCTCTGCGTCATGGATGTCCGTCCCCACGCACTATGGCTAGAGCTAGAAGAAGGGATAACAGAGTATATACACACAGTATAAGACACCAGCGTTGGCCAAAGTCCTGTGTGGGAGATGGTAAATCTGAACTCTCTTTACTGAGTTGCCGTGATAGTCTATTTATACAACTATATCCATCTAGTCTTAATACAGCTGTCCTGCTGCAACAGTGACTAGATAACATACAGGGCTGACTCTACGTCGGCCTCTGCATGTGGCTACAGTGCTGCAGGTGAGCTGTGCGGCGCCTGTACCTGCAGCGGCTACAGTATCACAGCATGAGGCCTTTCGACGCCGTCTTCTCCTGCTGTATTCACACAAGATAGCAGTAGATTATCTAACGACCCAAACGAATGACTTGCTTACAGCAAAGAGCAGCAGGGAGTGTGTCCCGTCGAGAAGTTATCAACAGTTTGCTTCCCCCCTGCTGAGAAATTAGAGGAGCTACAAGTTGCTCCCATTCTGTCTCATTGTAAGATTCCTGAAACCAAACATCATCCAACACAAGAAGAAATTTTTGTGACTTTTCTAGCATATCCTTCAATTTATAGTGGAGTGTCAAGACTATCAAGACGTGGGCACTCTCCCTTTGCTGCACACTCGGTAATCTCCCACGTGTGACGATGTATATTAAGACCCTGTTTGGTTGAGCTGTGGCTGTGGAAAAAAGCTGTTGTGGGCTGTGAGCTGTGGAAAAGCTGCTGTGGGCTGTGAGCTGTAGAAAAGATGAAAGCTGTTTGGTTAAACAAGTATAAAATATACTTTTTATCTTTATCTCTCTTGAAACAATTATGGAAGAGCTTTTTATTCCACCAATTTTGAAAAGCAGAAAGCCAAAAGTCAAAAGCAGGGTCAACCCAGCTTTCAAAAATGAACTACGGAAAAGCAGCTGCTTCTGAAAAAGCACTCTCCAAAAGCAGTCCCTTTGGTTGAGCTTTTGGCTTTTGGGGCCAAAAGCCAAAGCCAAAAGCCCAACCAAACAGGGCCTAAGCTTACGTGAGATGCAGACCCACATCCTGACATCAAAATATTCTTCTACCCTCTTGTCATTATAGACGTACTGTGCCAAGGTAGATCTCCCCATGCCTCCAGCTCCAATAATAGCCAAACCTGAAAATCTAGATGAACTTGCCTCAGGAGCTGTCGACTTGTTGAGAAGAATATCCACTACATGATCACGATCTTGGTCACGACCGAACACCTTTGAAGTGGGAAGTGATGTCGTTGTGGGAGGAGCAGCAGTTGTTGGTACAGCAGGGATAGCAGCTTTCAAGCCAAGAAGCTCACGGAAATCCTGGGCTTTCGCCAAGATGTCCGTCAGTTCATGAAGTTTGCGAATTAGCCTTCTGTTGTTAGGGAGCAAGTTGCGAGCCCTGCTCGTTGCAGCTTGAAAAGGCTTCAGAATAGTTGATTTCATGGAGGAGGCATCCTCCTCCAGTACGGAGTCCTTCCCACTCTTCGCTTTGCGCTTGAGGAGGTTGAACTCGTGCTCGTCCAACAGGTCCTCGGCGTCATAGAAGGCTTCTTTGAGCTGCTGGAGCCATGCCTTCAGCTTGTCCCTATGGGGACTCTTCTCTGCTGCTTCAATCACCAGGTCAAACTGTGGCAGGACGGTGGTCTCCAGTTCTTGGAGCTCCTGCGCCATGTCAACGCTGAGGTAGGTTGAAGCTTCAGCGAGGAGCTTGTTGACGATTGGCGATACCACCCACCGTAAGCCGGCCAGTGCCACGTCCGCCATCCAAAGTGTACTGGTTTGTGTGTTTATTGGCACCTTTACAAATGAAGAGAAGGCTTTTACATGTGTACCATTAAAAAAGTTTGTAATTATACATAGGTCATTAAAAAAGTTGACCGTACACATATGCCATCGTTCTGAACTTCTTTGCTCTCCAAGCCATTCCATCCGCATTCCGTTCATTTTTCACCGTTTGGGAGTCCTGACAAGTGGGTCAGGTCAGTCAAAAAGTCCATAATACCCCTCTTATCCCTATCCTCTCTCTCTTAAACTCGACCTCATCTCTCTTCTCCGCGCGTGCCCCCGGCGGAGCTCACCCGCACCCGCGCCCATGGCTGGCCGGGGCGGAGCTTGCCCACGGCGGCCGGGGCGGAGCTCCTCCGCCTCGAGCTCCCGCGCTGCCATGGCGGACGGAGCTCCCACGCGGCCATGGCGCACGCCACGGCAGGCGGTGCTGGCGGGCCAGAGCTCCACCGCCTAGAGCAGCAATAGCAGCAGCCCCAGGGGCGAAGCTCCAACCGCCGGAGCATCGGCTCCGCGGACGGGGACGATGGCGCGCCCGCCTCCGGCTCCGGCCACCGTGAGAAGAAGCTCCGCCTCGTCAAGTTGTCATGGGCCTCCACGAGCTGCTGCTGCTTGCTCATTCCTGGTGGCGCCAGCGGAGCTCGAGGCGCGGGAGCTTCGGCCCGCCATAGCTGCGCGCGAGCTCCACCCACCATGGCCGCACAGCAGCTCCGCCCGCCATGGCCGCGCAGGGGCTCGAGGCGGAGAAGCTCCGGCCCGCCATGGCCACGCACGCAGCAGCCGCCGAGACCACGCGGGCGAGCAGCAGCCTCCTCCTCCAGTCGCCCCCATCCCTCCACTCCTCCCGTCGAGCACACTGCCAATGGCGGCTCTCGCCCACACCCCTTCGATGCGCCCATCAGGAACAGAAGATGGGAAGAGGAGGCGAAATCCGAGTCCCCTGCACACCGGGGCCCTCGTCGTCGCCGTCGGGGCTCGTGTCGGTGTGCGCGGGGGAGCTCCGCCCTTGGCTGCTGCAGCTCCCCTTTGCTCACCCTGTCCATCCCCGCCATCTCCGTCTTCTTGGCCGCGGTGGCGCTGGGCGCGCCAAGCCCTCGCCTCGCTCGCCGGAGCTGCGCCGGCGACACAAATACAAGGCACGGCACGCCCACGGCCATGAAAAGCACGACGAGCTCCACCACCGCGAAGGGGAAGCAGCAGCACACCGCCTGCGCCGCGACGACGAGCAGGAGCACGGGGAGCGCGGAACGGACGCGCAAGAGAAAGAGAGAGAAAAAGAGAGTTTGGGTGGTTGACAAATGGACCCTACTGTAGGGTAAAATGGTCATCTCACCTGTCGGTTTGACACCGTTAAGTAGAAAAACGGACGGAATGGCTTGGAGAGCAAAGAAGTTTAGAACGGTAACATATGTGTACGGTCAACTTTTTTAATGACCTGTGTGTAATTACAAACTTTTTTAATGGCACACATGTAAAAGCCTCAATGAAGAGACGTTGGATGGAAGTATTTCCAGAGCTCCAGATGAGAAAGAAGAGAACAAAATGATGAATTGGTAATGCCACGAGGTGTTGAGAAATGGGAAACAAGCAAAAACTCAAGACTACTTTTTTTTTTTTTTTTTGCTTTTCTTTTAGCTTTTCCTCTTTTCCTATAGAGGGGTAAGAGAAATGGATGAACAGATAATTGTGTATCTGGAGATGGGAATATAAGACACAACGGAAGAGTAAAGGCAAGACGCTTTATAATTTTTTTTTTCCTTTTTTTGAGTAGGATGTAGGAAGAACCAGTGAGTGGAGAGACGAGCAAGGGAAGTACTTCTGCTAGGAAAAAGCGATGGAGTCGGCAGGGAAACCTGGTGGAGTCAGAAAAGACGAGATGAATTAGTAAGAGAAACCAAGATAAGAAACAACCTAGAAGCAGATTATATTTCCTGAATAGATGCATCTGTAGACGAACACAGAAGGAAATATCTAACGAGTCAATACACCAAAGGAAGAGTTGGAGAGTTTACACAGATGAGGACGCCGAAGGGCGCTGGAAGCAGAGTTGCCGGAGCCGGCGACGAAGAGGATGCGAGGTTGCCGGAGTAGTGGACTGACCTCTCGCCTGTAGAGCAGGTGCTGTATTGCAAGAGATGAATATGGGACGCAGGACTGTACAAACAGCCAGTCAGGATGGATCTGCAAAATATTCGACCCACTTGTCCCAAATTATTTCCTTTCGGGGACTCATTGCATTGCCGAGCTTACCTGCAGAGAAGACTTAGCCGTTGTTAATAGCCCACTGGGGGCAATTAGCTGCATGATTTAGCTCTAGGTACACCCAACGGAAACAAAAACAAGACTCCTACTGATAGTGACCGCTGGTATAAGCACATCAAATAAAAACATCAATTATTGCCTTATAAAAAACTAAAGCATCAATCAATTTAATTGTATGGAAGATGATCACGCTACCCGTGTCACAACTTTCTTTTTATTTTGATTGCCATCGTTGGCCTTATAAAAAACTAAAGCATCAATCAAGTTAATTTGGTAGATGTTGTGACCAAGAATAGAATATGACCCACTCGGTCTTCGTTCTACAAGAAACCAATGACAATAAGAACCTTATTGCAATTGGGTAAAATGATTTTCCACCTAAGCACACATATTACATGGTCAAGATGAAGGTATTTCTTGAACTGCAACAATTCTGGAGAGCATGACAGGACGCGGTGAGACTGAAAATGTGAAACAGAGATGAAGGTCACAGCAAAGTCTTTCCAATAATTCTAGAAATATACTCCTCCCCATATTCATGAATGGTGATGCTGAGTTCAGATGGAAGTACAAGCCAGTCATCATCTTCAAGGAGGGGTTGCAGAACTAAAGCCTTTCTAGCAAGGCAAGATAAGAAACGCCATCTCGAAAATAAAACCAGTATTTTAAGGACAGCTTCAGAAGTTGAACAGCAAGAGTACATGAAAATTTTCAGATTTTAACGAAATGGTTCCAAAAATAAAACAGTGCTTTAACAAACCTCGAAGTAATAACACAAAAATAAACTCAAGCCATTCTGATGTCGAAGAAAGCCTTAAACCAATTGTTTTGCTCAAGTTTCCAATTGTACCAAAAGGCACACCAGAGCACACTAGCAAATAATATTAATCATAAAGATTCAAAGTAAACTGATAGGCCTACTTCATATTCTTACATGCAAGTCTAACAAAATTTCATGGAACAGTTCCAAGTGGTTCCATAACATCCTACAATAAAACAAGTTGACTGCCTGCCAGTAGCTCACAACATATAATCAGTAAAAGGGAGAGTCTGTTAGGGTGGTATCAATGTTGGAACATATTGGTCTTGCAAACTGCAAGGGTTAACAACCCCAGACAAAAGCATGCAGGTTAGCTATTGCAAAGAACATTTAAAGATGACAAACCATACTGTCGCGACCAATACTAGGGTAACCGAAGAGGAGGAGCTAATAGTCATCAACATTGATTCATCCGAGCAGTCAAGAGCGCGACTACGGCTCCAACCGGCCCCCAGGTGTGCGGGCTCCGCCTCGCCCGACCTCTAGGGGCGGGCTCCGCCTCGCTCGACCTCGAGGCCACGATCTCCGTCTCTCCCGACCTCTAGGGGTAGGATCCGCCTCGCCCGACTTCGAGGCCGTGATCTCCGTCTCGCCCGACCCCTTGGGTGCGGGCTCCGCCTCGCCCGACCTTGAGGCCGCGATCTCCGTCTCGCCCGACCCCTTGGGTGCGGGCTCCGTCTCGCCTGACCCCTAGGTGCGCGGGCTCCGCCTCGCCCGACGGGGACCTATACCACTGCCAACCACTCTAGGTCCAAGCGTATGGGCCTGGATCAAAGCTCTGACACCGGGGAAGAGACTGACACGACTCAATGTAACCCGTGGCCATGACGGGCCATACCTGAGGATTCACATTAAGAACAGCATCGGACGTGCCGGTGCTGTTCTGCCTAACCCTCGTACGAACAATGACAGACGCGTCAGTTCACCACGACGTCCGCCGGGACAGAATGGAGCGTCATGACCGGCAGATGACGCCTGCGCATGGCGTCAGTGACGAACAGGGCCATGATGTGGAGCCGTCCCTGTTGACATCTACAGGATCAGCAGGACCCATATGAAGAAGAAGGACCTGGCGATCCTGAAGGCCTTCTTCTTTCTCTAGTTCTTCTCCTTTTCCTCCGTTGTAACCCACGCTTTCCTTTGGCCTATAAAAGGGAAAGCAGGTGAAAGCTCTAGTTTGGTTTTGGTGAATTGATAAAATCTTTAGTGCTAACCTAGTTTATCAAAGTGATTATGAGATAGGTAGCACTACTCCAAGTGATGAAGCAAATAAAGATCATGACATGATGATGATGATGGCATGGTGATGATAAAATGCTTGGACTTGGAAAAGAGGAAAAAAATAAAAAGCTCAAGACAAAGGTGAAATTGATAGGAGCTTTTTAGTTTAGTGATCGAGACAATTAGAGAGTGTGATCACATTTAGGATTGATAGCCGTACTATTAAGAGGGGTGAAACTCGTATCGAAATGCTGTTATCAAAGTGCCACTAGATGCTCTAACTCATTGCATATGCATTTAGGATCTAGTGGAGTGCTAACTCTCTTGAAAATGTTTTGTGAAAATATGTTAACACACATGCACAAAGGTGATACATATTGTGTTTAGCACTTAGGAGCAAGGGTTTGAAACTTCGCCGGCGGAGTGTCACCGGTGCCCTGTATAGAAAAGACAGGGTTTCACAGAGTGCACCGGATGCTGGTCACGTAGTGACCGGACGCTGGGGTCCTGCGTCCGATCAGTGGCGCGCAGTGAAGGCCGCCCTCGGTCTCTTGACCGGACGTACATTGTTTAGCGTCCGGTCCTACTGATGTGGTGGCACATAGAGAAGTAGTGAGTGACCGGACGCTGGGCGAGTCCTGTCGGGCATGACCGGACGCGTCCGGTCACGAATTTC